GCTGATCCTTCTGCTGCTTCAACATCTTGAAATGGACGGCTTGCACGATCATCTTCGCATCGTCATCCAAATAATCCATCTTCAAGGTCAAAATCTTCACCTCCCCCGAAGCAGTTGTGATCAGAACCTTCTTATCTTTGAGAATGGTATTCTTCTCTTCAAGCACGACCTTCTTATCTTCAAGCTTCTTTCTCTTCAAGCTTGAGCTTCTTCTCGGTCGCCGCCATCAATATGTTAAACCTCTCGGCCTTACATGCCACCTTGATGTCTGAGTGCTTGACATATGCCTCCTTCATCGCCAAGATGTCCTCAAGCCTCTCCATCATCTTGGTCGCCGCCCCTTCTCATTTCACCTTCTCCTTCTCTCATTTCACCTTCTCCTCCTCCCACTTCTTTCCCCAGAACCATCTCCTAACCTTCTTCGGCGGCTCTTTTATTGGGACGGTTGGATCATTCATTTCTTTCATGGTGCCCATGCCGACAGTCTTGGCGGAGTTGGCAATGAATATATTCCACTTGGGTTGCCCATTCAACTTCAACCAACAATGCACGAGGACGAAGTTCTTCTTCTCCAACTTCAAGAAAAAATTGCACGCACAGGAAGGCTATAAGTAAAGCAGTGACAAATTGCATATTTTATCTGGCCAAATGACCAAAACATAAAGCATATCTGGCCAACAAGTTGCATATCCGGCCAAATGATCAACACACTTGCTGGAGATTGGGAACCACTTTGCCACCGACGACGTGATTAATGGTGGGCGGTAGACGGGCAGACGGGTGGCCCTGGTTCCCCGTTCCTCGGCAACTGCACACATGTTTAACGTAGGCAGGCGGATGGTCGGGCAGTCGTTTGAACGTGGGGCAGCCGCATGCACCGGGAAGCGGCGAGGGCGACACTCTCTGCCGCCGCGCCGTTTTAATTCCTGAGCGTTGTGAGAGGTCATGTCGCTCTAAGCCGACATGAATGCGACACTGGTGCTCTGAAGCGGCGCTGGCCTTTTCACGCGGGAATGCGCATGAGTGCGGGTGGATTTTTTGGTGGCCCATAGTAGTTAGGAGTAGGCGTGGCAGCGGTTCGGACATCTGCAAAGCCCCTCAGTTTGTCTCCGATTTACGGAAAAAAACGTGTGCGGACCGATGTAGGACCGCTTGAATGACAAAACACGTCCGGACTGTACAGTCTGAACGGTTCCAGATAGTTTGAGAGTCGGCCTTGAAGATGCCCTTAGGCTTCAAACTTCTCCATCAAAATGGCCGCATCATTCGACTCATGTTCGGTTCAAGTAGAATTGGCCTAAATAATTTTTCCCTTTTATTTTTGCTAATTAAACACAATGTGTCTCTAAACCGGGCACGGCTATATGCTGCCATAAGCGATTCCTATTGCAGGGAGTTCCTGCTGGGCTGGCCCAGTGACCCCGCCCACTGACGTCATACAGACATCACCCATGTTTTTCCTTTTTTCTGCTCATATATATTTTCTTTATTTTTATATGGTTATATGTCAATATTATATGAATGAATGTTTGTGACATTTAAAAAATTCACATGTTTAACAGAATGTATGTGCAATTTTAAAATTTGTTTACACAAATGTACAAATTTTGTTCGCGTAACTCAAAAAATATTTGGTACATTTAGAAAAATGTACACACCATTTAAGAAAATGTTTGCGAGTTTCAAAAATGTTTTCTGCCATTTTCAAAACAAAATTGTATACAATAATGTTTCATACATTCAAAAAAATGTACGCGAAGTTTTAAAGAAAAATTCCGGCAATTCAAAAATATGTTCATGAAATGTTAGAAAATATGTATACAATGTAAAAAAAGTCCTCATAGGTTAAGAAGAAAATTTTCCATTAAAATGTATAATGTATTTGGAAATAATGTCACCGTGTATTCAAGTTTTTTCAAAACTAGTATTTTTTAAATTTACATCATATATTTGAAAAATGTCCAAAGTGTATCACAAAATCTTTCACGTGTGCTCTAAAAATGTGCATTTGTGTATCGAGAAAAAAGAGACATGTGTGAAAAAAGGAAACAAATAAAACCACCAAAGAAAAGAAAAACAAAAGGAAAAAACCAAGGACAAAGAAGAAAGAAAGAAAATAAAACCAAAGTATAACAAAGAAAGGAAAAATAAAACCAAAGAAAAATGAAAAAACCAATGAAAAATAAATAAAACCAAAGAAAAAAGAAAAAAAATCATAGAAAACAGATATATAAGAACCTACAACACGCAGCGAACGAAACCTCGCTACTGGGATGGCCCACTAGACGTCACTCATAGGTTTTTCTTGAGGGGGTACAGCCGACATATATAGCCCCGAAACACTCAACCAATCCATTTGCTCATGCACGAGCGATATAGGACAAATGTAGTTCTTTTTTTTTTTGCCGGGAATAGATAATTCATTTCAGTGAACTGAATCTAGTCTCTCCTTTTTCCTTTTGTTACTACTCCATTCGTTCCTTATTATTTTGTGTGGTTTTACTTAATTTAAATTAAAACCACAATAAAAATTACGGAACGGAGGGAGTATCAGATTGGAGGACGGCTGAATATGGTCATCACCATCTCTTTTCCATCCCATTTACCTGGCTGATCGAAGGGAGTGGCGAACAGCTAAGCTATAGCTGTTATCGAAAAGAAAAGCTAAGCTATAGCTAACCCGTTACTGTCACGGTTCACCAGCGAGTAAACACCAGCGACGCACGCACGCCGGTGCCAAAAAAAAAAAAAACCAGCGACGCACGCCGAGCGCGACGACCGCGACACCGTAACTTGCCTCCCAACCAGCAGGAATCAGCGGTACATTGCCACTGATGATATACCACCACGTCCAGACAAGGAAGAATACCACACAGGGTGACAGGGGCAGTACAAGTGTATAGTTTAAGCACGTTGGGGTTGGATGGGTCGAAATGGAATCCAAGAGAGGGGAGGAGAGGAGGCCAGGCCAGGCCAGTGCACGCCGAGATCTGGCAGCGTGGATAAAGAAATGGGCCGTGCGTGGCGGCCTAGCCTGGCATCCGAGCTGGGCATGCGCGCGGCCGCGTGTATTCAGATCGGTCAGATGTCGATCCGCCCCCCTGCCCTGCGTATGTGCATGCATTTGCATTTGCGCCTGCCCCAGGCTGGAGCCCCCATTATTTTGCCGCCGCGCCCCAACATGCCACCTTGCCACGCATCACCCGCAGATCCATCGATCGAGATATTTATTTATTTATGTTTATTTATAAGTAAATAATGATGATGCCGTAGTTTTCTTCGTCAACTAGGCCAGCGGATCACTGGCGCAAGTACGCCTTGCTGTCCTGTCATCGCGTGCGAGCTTAGGCATCGCCGTTGATCGGCGAGGAGACCCCGGTGGCTGTAGCCGCAGATGCGACTAGCCGGACGGAGACGACGTTGGCCGATTGGCGTGCGCCGGATCTGTCCAAGCGGCCATATGCGTTAATCTTATCGAAGAAAATAAAATGAATCACTAGTGCTGCAGTTTGTGTGGCAGATGTCATGCATCGCGTCGCGACCCACGACGAGTTCACCGCGCTGGGTCAACATTCAACACTCGACCTGTACCTTGGCTGGACTGCTGCACCGTACGGCACGTACAAAACGCGCGCGTGAAGCCATGATGATCCGTTCCAGTTCCAGAAGCTGCTCGCCTCCGTTCAGTTCAACAGTGACCCCGGCCGGCCGACGCGGCCACGTACCATACCACTGGCCGTCACTTTCTCACCTGGCCCGTAAGTACACGCCGCGTGGCGCGGGCTGATCTGACTCGGACCTTGTAGCCTGCCTCGCGTGGACCCATACGGCGGATCGACCTGCCCAACTGGGCGGCCGGCCGGACCTGACTAGGACCGCGACACGCATGGGGGGCTCCCGGATGGGTCGATGTCTCCGTATGCATATCGGGCCTGATTAGTGTTTCTATTTTCTCCAACGACGATTTCATCATCATGTACGCACTCAGCATCCATCCATCATAAGATCATCATAGCAGCTAGCATCTCAGCCAAAAGCAGTGGCGGAGCCAGGATTCAAATATAGGAGGGACCGAATACGTATATTGATATAATCTCGTTGGTAATTACTCGTCGCTCCTACTAAAATTGTCGATCGTTGGAAGGAGCCAGGCCCCTGCTCGTCCCCCTGGCTCCGCCCTGAGCCAAAGGTGACAGTAATTCGACCCATGGGACACCTTGCCAGTACTACCTCCATTTCAAGACATAAAACGTCGTACTATATCAAATCAGCGACAATTAATATGAATCGAGGAGAGTACTGATATTTTTTACTTATTTGGTCAGTGAGCACGCAAAAGAAGCTCGAGGACTTGGAAATGGAGGACGGTCAGCGGCGTTTATCCATCCATCCATCCATCTGAAGCCTCAAGGGGAAAGCACCTAGACAAGAGCCAGCCAAGCCCTTCCCTTTTCTACGTGGTACCAACGTGTGTACAGCTACGTACGCCGAGATAGATATACTCCTAGTAGTTGTGTACAGCATGCGGCACAACACAAGCGGAGACAAAACCCATTCAAAAGTGGCAAAAAGAAAAGAGAGGGGGGAAAAAAATCCGAGCTGTTCCCATGCGCAGCTGTCCGTGCGACGGAGTTGAGTTAAAGCCCCCGCCACCACACCACACCAAACCCGCCCCGTCAATCAGCTACCCCGGGCCGGCGCGGTGGACGGCCGTATATATACCCGGCGCGCACAGCGACAGCCGGAGGCCGCCGACCCGAGAGGAGAGAGACCCAGCGCAGAAAAGGGACGCCGCAAAAGGGCCCCCGGGGACAGCGAGAGGTGTAGGCAGCAGCAGCAGCCAGCGAGGAGGCTGGTTGTGGTTGGTCGTCGCGGGCGGGATGGAGAGCGAGATGTCGGACGCGCAGCCCCCGGCGGCTGCGGCGCCCGTCGCCGAGCCGCTCGCCGCCGTGGCGGAGGAGGGGGAGGGGGAGGGGGAGGGCGAGGCGTCCACCCTCACCATGGAGCGCGTCGCCGCCGCCAAGAAGTTCATCGAGAACCACTACCGCTCGCACATGAAGAACATCCAGGAGCGCAAGGAGAGGTACCGATCCGATCCCGCCCCCCGCCTTTCCTTTCCGCCTCCAATTTCAGCTGCCGCCGCTGCGTTCGTCCGGGGTAGATCTCGCGTGGGAGAGCTCGATCGAGGGGTTTGAGCTCGGTTGGAGCGGCTCGAGCTCGGGGTTCTGGTGCTAGGGGTTTGTAGCTTGCTAGATTTGGGGGTGAATTTTGGGGCTGGTGCCTGCGAGGAAGCGGGACGTGGGTAGCGGTAGCTGTACCAGCCCATGGTCTTGAGGGTTTCTAGTGCAGCATGACCTCAGATGTTGCTTTAGATCCTCGAATTGTTATTTTTAGACAATGAGATTCTCGAATTAGTCGAGCATGCTATGCAATTTGGGGTCGCAGTGGCCTGATTTAGCTCTGATGGATAAGTTGGGATGAGGAGAGTCCTTGGTTCTGTAGGTGCTTCGGATCCTCATATTCTGCTCAATGCACCGAGTAAAAATGGCCCTAATCACTGCATATGGAGCAGTTACTGCATTGTTCCACTTTTGCCGCGAAAAGCTGCTAAGCTGAGCTCATCATACTAGCAACTGCCTTGCTTAGCTGGATAGCGGGTTTGGAATGTTACTGTTCTGATGGTTCTCGCTCGGATGATGACGATGCATGGTTGCTGCTACCGTGTATGTCTTGAGGTTGCGTCAGTATTTTGTTGTATGTGATATTTTGTTCTTGCGTGTATAATTAGAGTGTATAGTTTGTCGGTTTTTATTAGTTTCCGCAAGCAAACAAACAAATGGTTGCCTTTATTATGTGACGGTTTTGTACCATCAATGTACTGTTACTGATTCATGTCATCCTTTTATGAATGAGTGGTGGACACGTGGTCGATGACGTAGCGCATACATGCCATGTATTGATTATGCCAGTACTAATTTAGCTTACTCGAAGCCAGATATGTACTACATAATAACCATTTCAGTTTACTATGTGTTTGTTAGAGCCAGGATCAAAGAACCCTGTTTTCCCCTTTCATCAGACATATTTTAGTTGCGGACAACATTTGATTCTGCTAGTTGTTTGGAATGCTTCGTTTCTGCTCAGTGCACCATGCTGTTGGTCAAATTGCTGACACGGAGTAGTTAGGTTCTGTTTTTTCCGCTGCAAACTGTTGAGCTAAGTTCATAGTACTGACTCACCCGCAAAAAAGAAGGGTTCATAGTACTGACTACTCCCTGCTTAGTTGGGTTATAAAACTTAGTGTCTTGCTGTTGTAAAGATTTTCTTGCAGGATAAATGCACAAAATTGACTCGAGGGAACACACATGATTTTTCTGCGTCAGCATGTTGTTTTACAAAGGTCAAACCGTCAAACAGTCTTGTTTCCCTATATGTTGGAAGTAAAACAACGTGATGAGACACAATGCAGAACATTAGATGAAAGAAGTTGATGTCCTATACCTTTTTTAATGCAATGGCACATAGTGGGTATGTAATCACCAGCCATGGCGTTGAGGAATTCTAGTGTGGTATGACGATGAGATCCTGGAATTAGTCAAGCTTGGTACACAATTTCGGGTTGCAGTGGCCGAATTTAGCTCTAGTGGATAAGGCCTCATTCGGTTTGGAGGATTTTCATAGGAAAAACATAGGAACAAGAATTTCAGAGGAAAATTTCCTATAGATGCATTCGGTTTGTAGGAAAGGTGTACGGGAATATTGTAGGAATACTACTCATTTCCTGTGTTTTTGGAGGAAACTAGACATCCACTCAAAGCTCATTTTACGCGTAGGAACGAGGCAAGTCAATTCCTTAGGGTGGCAAGTGCCATCCTATCAAATTCCTATACTAATCCTAATTCCTACCTTTTAGTTTTCTCCAAACCGAATGAGCCCTAAGTTGGGGTAAGCAGCACTTGACTCTGTACGTGCTTCGAAATCTCAGATTCTGCTTAATGCGCCAAGTAAGAATGGTTCCAATCATGGGGTATGCAGTAGTTATTATACTGTTATATTTTTGGCATGAAAAGCTGTTAAGCTGAGCTCACCGTACTAGCTGCTGGCTTGCTTAGTTGGATAGTGAGTTTGGAGTGTTACTGTTGTGATGGTTCTCCGATGATGGTGCATTGATGGCATACTATCGTGTATGTTTTGAGATTGCGTTGGTATTTGCCTTATGTGGTATTTTGTTCTTGTGTGTATAATTAGATTGTATACAAGCCAACAAATGTCTGCCTTTAATTAGGGTATATTATGTGATGGTTTTGAACTGTCATTGATAGTCGATGACGAAGTGTATACATGCTAGTACTAATTTAGCTTACTTGGAGTCAGGTATGTACATAATAACCATTTCAGTTTAGTATGCATTTGTTAGAGCTAGGAGCCTAGGATCAAAACCCTGTTTCCCTTTTGTCAGACATGTTTTGGGTGTGGACACCATTTGATTCTGCTAGGTGTTTGGAATGCTTTGTTTCTGCTAAGGTGCACCATGCTGTTGGTCAAATTGCTGACACGGCGTAGTTATGTTTTATTTTCATGCTGGAAACTGTTGAGCTAAGTTCATAGTACCGACTACTGCCCTGCTTAGTTGGGTTACGGGATTTATAGTTGCTGTTTTAAAGATTTTCTTGCAGGATAAATGTACAAAACTGGTGGTGAGAAATCAACAACATGATTTTCTGTTTTAGCATACATTATTGTACAAAGGTCAAACAGCCTTGTTTCCGTATATGTCGGCAGTAAAATAACACGATGAAGCACAATGCAGAACATTAGATGAAAGTAGTTGATGACTTAATGTCATATACTTTCTGTAATGCAGTACATGAAGTTCAGGCCATCTATGTAACAGGGCATTTGTTTTTCATTTGTGGTCCTGTTATGTGTTAAATCTTTTATTAAAGCACACAGGGGTTATGTAATCACCAGCTTGGTCTTGTATTAACTCAAGCTGGGGAATGCATTTGTTGAGACATCAATCAATTTTAAATATTTGAAGTTTACCTGCATAAGTTTCAACTGTGAAAGCTTTGTACTGGTGTGTGACTTCCGTCATATTGATTATCCACCTTGCTCATCTTTTGGCATTACAATTCCATTTTAAGCAGATTTGCCCCTCCCCAGATGATAGTTTTGTTTGATTTCTGTCGGTTCCCAGCATCACATAACAAAATCCGATGTATTGCAGGCGTTTTAGACTGGAGCGGCAGCTAGCTACTTCTGAAGTTCCCAGGGAGCAGCAAATCAATTTAATAAAAGACCTGGAGAGAAAGGAAACTGAGTACATGAGACTTAAAAGGCACAAAATCTGCGTGGATGACTTTGAGCTGCTCACCATTATTGGGAGAGGCGCTTTTGGAGAGGTTTGCTCTTGCGCATTTAGTTTCTGTTTTTCTGCACACACCTCCATCTGTGGCGTCACTGCTAAATGACACATGTGTTTTTGCCAAAGAACATGGCATGGCTCTAGACCATGGTACTATAAGTTTGGTTGTTGTTGGTAATGTATTTACCTTCAAGTAGTTCTGTATGTCCAAAAAGATTTAAACTAGGGGAAGTGACAACTGTTTGTTGGAGCATAAACTCATTTGTGCTTTAAATCCTTTACTGACCTTCTTCTTGCTGTTTATAATTTATTATTACAATAGGTTCGACTGTGCCGGGAGAAGACCTCTGGCAACATATATGCAATGAAAAAACTGAAGAAGTCTGATATGGTTATCAGGGGTCAAGTAAGATATCCCCTATTTCTGGACATTTCATGTTTTCTGCTTCGTAGTTGCTCGTTCTATTGACTAATTTTTATGTTGAATGTGCTTAGATGGTTGTAAGTATTAATATTTACCATGGTGCTTTGCTATCTGTCAAAATTTTCTTCAACAAACTCTTGTTGCGTCTACGAGTGTATGTGGCGCTTTTGCAAGGATTGTTTTTTTTCTCAAAATATGCAGTGCAGTGCGGATTTCTTTTCCATATCATATAGTTGCTTTTCACTGCAGCTTTTGTCACTGTTATCTCGAAAAGAAAACAGAAGTACAAATCGAATTTGCAATGCATGCTAATACAGTATTAATGCGTAGGAGCTTGTGTGTTTACCATTTAGCTGGCCTTCTTTTGAGTTTCTGAAAGAAGGCCAGCTAAATGGGTAGCCATTTTTTCAGTCTCCAAGGAATTCGAACTTGAACTTGCTAGAAACAAAAGGCTAGTGTATATGATAATCCTGTTTTGTTCTATCCCTGACTTTGTTTGTGTGAAGCCCACAAATGTTCCACTCATTTTTCTCTTATCTAGTTTATTTGTCATGGGCATGTGATGATATCTTCAAAATATGTGTACATTTGTATACTATCTTTGTTGGATTTACAATTTCTGTAACATGTTTGTTAGGTGGAGCATGTTAGAGCAGAAAGAAACTTGATGGCTGAAGTTGCTAGTCACTGCACTGTGAAGCTATACTATTCTTTCCAAGATACGGAGTATCTTTACCTTATTATGGAGTACCTCCCTGGCGGTGATATCATGACCCTTCTCATGAGGGAAGATACCTTAACTGAACCCGTGGCTCGATTCTACATTGCTGAGACCATCCTTGCTATTGAGTCCATTCATAAGCACAACTACATCCACAGGTTACAAATATTTGATTTTAAAGGCATCTAATTTAGTCTAACTCTACCATCTTTCTGATATATATATTTGGTTTGCTATCATATGCAGAGATATCAAGCCTGATAATCTGCTTCTAGACAAGAATGGTCACATGAAGTTGTCGGATTTTGGGCTGTGCAAACCAATTGATTGTTCAAAGCTCTCAACCTTGAGCGAAGATGAACCCATGGGCGATGACAACCTGAAGGAGTCAATGGATGTCGACAGTTCACTCTCTGAAACTGCAAATGGTAGAAGGTGGAGAAGTCAACATGAACAACTTCAGCACTGGCAGATGAACAGAAGAAAACTGGTATGTCTGCTTTATGGTTAACATATCGTCATATCGATCATCTCATTGGTCCTGTATAATTCTTTTGCTTTCATGGTATCGCTTCTACACCCTTGTTGGGAAAAAAAAACAAGCGTGTGCATGCTCGATGTTTCCGTGGCAGCCTTTCTTACTACAAATGTATACTGATATTCAGGCATTCTCAACTGTTGGAACCCCAGACTATATTGCTCCAGAAGTTCTGCTAAAGAAAGGATATGGAATGGAATGCGATTGGTACAGCATGTTCAGACACCTTTTGTTCTATTTACTCTTTAGTTTAATAAATGTCTCATTATATTTTGTTTTGATCCGTAGGTGGTCTTTGGGTGCAATAATGTATGAGATGCTTGTTGGGTATCCACCATTTTATTCCGATGATCCAATAACCACATGCAGAAAGGTTTGGTTTACTCAGCACATTTAGCTTAGTGTCCAATTCAAATTACCACTCATTGGTCGGGCTCACTTTTTTATTTGTAACATATCAGTAGTTCATTGAATGTTCTGTATGAATTATCTTCAGTTTAGGCTTATCATCGAAATTAGATTGCACTAATACTGAACAACTGATTTATTTTTAGTTTAATTTAAAGTTCAAGCTGCAAGAACCTGAAGAAAGTATGCTGCAGCTGTATTGCTTATAAGCTTGCTCTACCAAAGCTTATGATATCAGTATTGTTATATATTAATTTTTTTGATTTGGTAGTGACAAAGTACCCACTTCTTGATCATGTTTTACTTTCAGTAAGTTTACGAAGACATAATTATTTTGAAGTTATTTCTTTATGATGTTTCTGCTATGATGATGTGTATTTCTAGATTGCCTTCTATGAGCATAATCAATTGTAGTTGGACCTGCATTTGTTCTATTAATGTGGTTAACATTTTTCATATACGACCACCCGAAGACATTTTATCCTCACTCTGCCAAATTTCTGCCTCTTTCTAGATTGTGCACTGGAGAAACCATGTGAAATTTCCAGATGATTCAAGGCTGTCTCCTGAGGCAAGAGATCTAATCTGCCGGTTATTATGTGATGTTGACCACAGGATTGGTGGTGCAGGGGCTGATCAAATAAAGGTAGGACCCACTGGCACACAAAAGAAATAATTAGTTAAATATAATTCTTGTTTTGTTAGTCTACCTGTGTTCAACATATCATTTTCTTCATCATTAGGCCCATCCTTGGTTCCGTGGAGTTGCATGGGATAAACTTTATGAAATGGAAGCAGCATTTAAGCCTCAAGTAAATGATGAATTGGATACACAAAATTTCATGAAGTTTGATGAGGTAAGTGTGTAATCCATTTATTGACAGTCCTCTCCTCTCCTGCCTGTGCAATTCAAACTTTGCCATTCTCCATTGAATATACTCCCTCCGTCCCAAAATAAGTGTCTCAACCTTAGTACTAAAGTTTCTGCGATTGATGACATTTATTTATAATCCACCAGCATTATTTGATTTTATATTATGTCTCTTTATTTGTATTACAACTTGCATCTGTTACGAACACTTACATTTGTGTATATCATATCAGGTGATCTCTGGTAGATATTATTTCAGATGTATAAGGGGTATTCATATACTATAATTTGAACGAAATAAGATCTACTACTACTTATACAAGCACGAGTTTGATGAATCCAAACGATCCCGACCTTTCAACCATCTACATCCAACGTCCCACACTGCTCCAATGATGTATCCATCACATCACCACAATTTGGAAACAACATTGGTTGCATTAATTGCAATTAATCTTGGAAAAATCATTAATTGCAATTGATTTTAGGAATATTGTTCATTTTAAAATTATAGTCGTAGAAAGATTACATGATTGCCTCTCAAAATTATAGTCGGAGGGAGCACTATCAAATTGTATGTGTGTTGCACATGCACAATTACTACTACTTCTGCATCGTAAATTAATAAAATAAAGAAGTGATTATTATTTTCAAAATTTAATTTTTAAATAAGGAATAAATCATGTATACATCTAAACAACATTTTCTTGAAGGGGAGCCTTGGCGCAGTGGTAAAGCTGCTGCCTTGTCACCATGAGGTCACGGGTTCTAGTCCTGGAAACAGCCTCTTACAGAAATGTAGGGAAAGGCTGCGTACAATAGACCCAAAGTGGTCGGACCCTTCCCCGGCCCCTGCGCAAGTGGGAGCTACATGCACCAGGCTGCCCCTATCTAAACAACATTTTCTTAAATCTAAGCATCCCTTTCAATCCAAGCAAACTTTAATGAATCCAAGCAACCTTTTGTAAATCCAAGCAAGCTTTTCATAAATTCAAGCAACCAAACTGTTAGTTTGAATTTTTTTTGGCAATGTTCAGATGAATTTCATGTTCTCTGCATTGAAATGCTGTTTATTTTATTTTCATGTTTTGTTTTCACCCCGTGAATTACATCCCTACAAGTTAATGCTTGTTTCTGCGCTGCAGATGGATAATAGCCCTCCAGCAAGAACAGGTTCTGGGCCATCAAGAAAGGTACGCACATTGAGGTTCATAAACTAGCGTAATAGCATTTGTAATGTTTGCATTGGCTTTTGCATCTTAATTTACTATGCATTGGCTTTTGCATCTTAATTTACTATGCACAACGATGAATTGTTTGCTTGAGTTACATTCCATCAAATTGTAATTATGTCAGGCTCACTGTTTGATAGAGCAAGATATGTTTGAGACAGGATTAGCCATATCTTTCTTTATTTCTGTGTAATAGAAGTACAAAACACTTCATTTGAGTATCAAATACAGGTCACTTATGTGTTTCAAGACCTGTTTAACCATTAGGCCGTTCCACTATGCATATATCTGTGATAGACCCACGGTTTCTCATGAGTCGTATATCTACTGCCTACTGGTATTTATAACTTTGTTGTAGTAGTTCAAAGTTCAAATTATCTGCCCTTATTGTTAATTTTTTGTGTATCTTATGTATATTTTTTGGTACAATTGTACAGGCGAAGCTGAATTCAAAAGATCTCAGCTTTGTGGGGTATACATACAAAAACTTTGATGCTGTGAAAGGATTAAAACATGCAGGTTTGTGTCTTTGACATGATTTTATATATTGTGAAATATGGTCGGATTGCAAGTATGGATTTCTTTTCTAGTGTTATTGGCATTTTTCTCATAGCATACTCATTATGTTCTGTAAACTGATAAATGACGGTTTTTCATAGCATAAACATGCTATTAGGTAGCTTCATCACTTCATGAAAAATGACCAGTATCTAAGTGACATACACGCGTTTATAATCCTTTGTTGTTTCTAAATGTATAAATGTTTGCAGATATGCAAAGGAGCTCATCGCTTACAAGGCCCTCTATTGGTGCTATATTCGGTAACAAATTCTGCCAAAGTCGTGTATTCTATTGCGATAACTTCCCTCTCTCTGCTTTATCTTATTCGTAATTCCTCATCTCAGGATCAAATGGCATGGAGTCATCGAGAGAACCAAATGGAAAGGACACACACATGCACACCTTTTCTTCCGGGGATCCGATGAGTCCATAACCCGGCGTGGTTCTGTTTGTTGCTGAGATTTTTCTAAACTAAATTAGCATGCAAACGACTGAATGAAGTGGCTTCGTCTGGACAACCTGCTTGTTTTTAGCCAGGTTTCTGCCCTATTAAATCGTTGGCGAGCAGTTTGTAGAAATCCAAGAAAGCTTCTAGCTGTAAAATAGTATGCTAAGGACTAGACAAATGGTCCATCCACCGGTGGGCTCGTCGTGTTTGGTGTAGCGTGTTCCGACCAAGTGGAGATGGGCATGTTTGGGAGGGCTGGCTGCCCAGGTTGGCAGAGCAAATTGCTGCCTTCTCTTGTGGCAGTTCCTGGTCCGCTAACATTTGATCATGGAAGCGAAATAAGGTGGTAACTGAGGCAGGCTAAGCTATTGTTGTTGGTGGTGTTTGATACATATGTACCAGAAGATTTCCATTCAGAGACATGGCCCTTGGTCAATGGTCTCCCGTTGCAGAAATGCCTAAATTTTTGTTTACTGTATTGTTCGCCAGTTATATTTGAACATTGAACATTTTTGGTGGAAGTGTCCCTTATTTTCTTTCCGCAACATCCATATGCAAGAACTGAATTCTGTGAGAGTGATTATTTCACATAGACTATTCTATAATTGTCTTTGTTCTCGAGGACGGCATGTGTTGGGCAAAAGAAAAAAGTGTATTCAAGAGCAATGTCGAAGCACAAAATTTATGTTTTTAATATAGGCCGCACAACCCATTTTTTATCAATGATGAAAACATACAGTATTTTCTTGAGTGTGAATTACATTATTTTTCAAGTGTTTTAAACATTTCTTATCGGCGACAACTAGACAAACTACCAGAGAAGTTTGCCTAAGTATTTGTGTCCAACTCTGATGGGACACATAAAACATTTGAACCTTACATAAGTCGAGCTACAAAACATTCTAACCCAGAAGGTACTAAGCCAGTGAATGCAATGAATGTGTGTTAAAAGTCAGATCTAGCTACTGCTGCCAAGACAAGTGACTTGTTCTGAATTACAATCATTTACACCAGCACACACCTGGCAAGCACTGTTAGCGTTGTACTACCAGTTTCGATCCTACAGTTTTCTGTAATTTGCTACAAAACAGTGTCCAACCTTCGCACAATCTCCACATGAAGCTGTCTCAAAACTTGAAGAGCACATCCCACACAGACTATGGTTGAAATCTATTCCTTTGCTTACACAAGGCCGAAGGGGGCAAAGGCAAGCAATTATGATTTCGAGTTGATCAATCAACCCAATCAATAGAGCCCCGACTACCTGATCTAGCATGAGCAAACTATCAAAACCCTAGAAACCACGCCTCCCTCGTCCAACCCGAACATCAGAATCAATCCATCAACCATTGCTACTTGGCGAATCACGAAGTCACCAGGGCAACCACAACTCAAACCCAAAACAACCCAACACCAGCACACGGATTTCCACATACCATCGCTCCCATGGAGACTAGGGTTTGGCGAACCACCGCCACGCGTAATCTACCTCGAATGCTTGTATTTGGCCATGGCGGGAACTATGAGACGGGGCCGAGGGAGTCAGGCGGGGGTCGCGTAGCGGAGTGAGGCGTGCAGGAAGGGAGGCGGGCGGGGGTTCGTGTGCAGGAACGGTTTACCTTGCTAGCTTGGTGATTCCTACTGACCTTAGTTCTCAACTGAGGGAAATACTTTGCTTATGTGCTACACCACCCTTCCTCTGGGCAAAACCCAACAACTCCTACGGGAGTAGCACTGCCCCATTAGAGGTTAAAAATGGAAAAAGGAACATTGTCAAAGATCTCATCAATCCAAGACCCTGAGCTTGTTCCTCAAGTTGTACATATCCAAGGCCTTCCACTCTGTGAACTTGGCCTTTCTCCTGGAGGCTCTAGACCATTTGGGCTTCGGTCAACACTGGCACGACTGGACTTGCATGTCGCTTAGCTCCTCAACATCGTGTGTCCTCCTCAACGGTTTCTCTGCCCCTTCCTTTTCTCACAGGCGAGGCCTTCGGCAAGGGGATCCACTTTTGCCTATGTTATTCATCATGGCCATCGACTCCTTCACCACATGATCTGAGTGGCGGCCGACTCGGGCGTACTCTTGATGGTCCGTGCAAGAGTGGCACGCTGTCGAATTTCACTATAGCTGACGATGCTGGCATCTTTGCCAACCCCGACAAGGACGAGCTCACCACAATCAATTCCATCCTCGATTGTTTCGGCAACGCTTTGGGATTGATCACCAACATCATTAAGACTGAGATCTTTCCAATTCGTTGTGAGAACTTTGACCTGCAAAACCTACTCACGGTGTTCCCGACCAAAATTGCATCATTCCTAGTAAAAAATTTGGGCCTTCCCCTTCACTTTCATCGACAATGTAAGGTTCACCTACAGCCGCTGATTGACAAGGTTCATGGCAGACTACCCAGATGGAAAGGCAAGAATATCACTAGAGTGGGCAGAGTGGCTCTTTCCAAGTCCTCTCTCACCTCTACTGCCACATTTCATATGACGGTCATCCCACTACCAAAGTGGGCCAGTGCCAAGCAAGACAAGATCACAGATAGTTTTGTCTGGTCTGGCGATGATAGTGACACTGTTGGTGCTAGTCATTCACTGGTTAATTGGAAGATTGTCGGCCGCCCCAAGGTGCTTGGGGTGCTAGGTATCACGAACCTGGAGCTCTTCGGGAGGGTGCTCAGACTGCAACAACTCTGGCTAAAATGGAACGACTCGAAGCGACCATGGGCCCGATCTCCGCTCCCCTGCGATGCTTCTGACTTGGCCCTCTTCAGGGCCTCCGTGACCATCACCATTGGAGACGAGCACAAGGCCTCCTTCTGGCATGACAACTGGTATGGTAAAGGGGCACTATGGATTTTGTCACACCCTGGTCTTTTTGCCATCTCTCCTTGAAAGAATAGATCGATGCACGACAAGCTTCGGAACAATATTCTGGATTCATGCGGCGGCTAAGATGAACAGGCTGGACCGACTGTTGGAATTCATTGGTCGGGCCTCCACCGAACCTCCACCACCCTAGACCCGCACAATCAAGACTCCATCTCATGGAACTGGCACCCCAGCTGTGAGTACTCGATCGGCGGCTTATCGGACTCAATTCTTGGGCTCTATCTGAGGTACTTGAGCGACAAAATCTGGAAGACGCACGCAAAGCAAAGTGTAAGCTATTCTCTTGGCTTGTCTCCATAACAGGATCGTCGCGGTTGATCGTTGGCCATGCGTGGCTGGCTGCATGACCCGGTCTGCCAGCTTTGTCTAAGTGCCCTTGTGACCGTTGACCATCTCTATGAGGGTTGTCTGTTCACTTCCGCCATGCGTGGCCTAGTGTTGTCCTGGGCAGGTGTGTCGTCGGCTTTCGCTCTGACGGCCGCCACCCCCTCAATTGACGTCTGGTGGCACGAAGGCCTAAAGGAGAACGACAACACTATCAGAAGGCGACGCAGTGGCATCCTCATTTATATAATGTGGAATGCCTGAAAGGAGAGGAACAAACACATCCTTGAAGAAACGAGACTGTCATACATTGAGGTGGCCCATCTCGCCTTCGAGGAGATTTCGTAGCGGGAGTTGGCCTTCAGGCCACGAGCGATCCCAATTCATGAGTAGTTAGCATGCGGCTTTGACTGGGATACATGAGATCTTGGGGTTACCGGCATGTCCCCTCCTAAAACATGCCAACCTCTAAATATTTCCCCCTTCTTAGTGAAAGGGCAGTGCTCCTGCCGGTTGCTCAAAAAAGATAGAAGGTGTGATTTTCTCACCAAGTTTATTCAAATCTGATTGCAGCTTCTTCCTCCCAGTGTTCTCCCTCGGTTTTCCCAGATCCAGGAACAGCTAGTGTCGTTTTTTGTACAACGCCTGGTGCAAAAAAAAAAAAAACCCGGCAAAACCAAAACTCATATTTGTAGTTTTGTACTGGTGAGGGGGCCTATACGTTGACGTACATGACAGAAACCTTCGTATTCACAATGTATATAGAACTACGACGCAAGAATGTCCAGGACGGCGTGCAGCGACGTACGCAGGGTGTTTGTGACGTTTCAAGCAGGGTGTTTTGGCCCCGCTTTCCAGGCTTGTTCTCTGAATATGAAACCACAAGTCCAAGTGAGCACGCGCAGAGGAAAACGATTGCATGCATATCCAATCGCATCACTTGTGCAACTACGTACGTACGTGCTTGGGCCGTCCATACCGTGAACCGCAATGCACGTCAGACAAAGTGAACGCGAGCTTCTCCCGTGATGCATCCACACGCCTCAAACTGGCCAATGGCTATTTAAGCTCGATCTTCTCCCACATCGATCTGCACCATGGCAGCTTACTACTACTAGCTGTCTAAGCTAGAGATCAGCTATCAGCTGATTGTGGACGCCAGCTACGTAGCTCACAAGTTGCAAAATGGCTTCTCTCACGAGTAGTCCATGGCTTCATCTCCTGCTGCTTCTCGTGGCCATGGGCGGCACGTTCACTGCCGCCGGTGGCAGCGGGAACCCCACCGCCGGGTTCCAGAAGGTGCAGCTCACCGACGGCGATTTCCAGGTGCAGAGCCCGTACAACGTGCCGGAGAGCCAGCGGTTCCAGTACCGCAACGGTGTGCGGACGTTCTGGGTGCACCGAAACGACAAGCCCTTCAACACCGTCACCCACACCAACCCGCGCTCTGAAGTCAAGCTCCGGGTAAGTACATAGCAGCACATTGTTGAAATTCATGCGTTCCATATCGGCCATGGCGTCACATATATGAACTATCCTCTTCCAGGGCCACGACTACTCGTCAGGGGTGTGGCAATTCGAGGGCTATGGCTACGTGCCGTCGGGGACCTCCGGCGTGTCGGTGATGCAGATCCACAACGAGGAGGGCGCCGCGCACTCGACGGTGTTGATGTTGCACGTCTACGACGGCGTCCTTCGGTTCTACAGCGGGGCGGCCATCGAGCCCGACATCTACGACCGGTGGTTCCGCCTCAACGTGATGCACGACGTCGGCGCGTCCACGGTGGCCGTGTACGTCGACGGCGAGCGAAAGTTCAGCACCAGCGTGACCCCCAGCGAGTCCTACTACTTCAAGTTTGGGGTGTACATGCAGCACCATGACCAGTCCAGCTGCATGGAGTCACGATGGACCAACGTCACGCTCTATACTAAGCACTAGACGGTAGATAGCCATGTGTATTGGTAATGCGTACTAGCATGTCGTATATGTTTACACCACCCTATGTATTACATTATTACCACCAGAAGTTGAATAAAGGTTGTTGCTTGGAGTAGTACACGCACATGTGAACCCTAACGTGCCCCGTGACTTCTTTCTTAGAATTATTTTATAAATATATACATATTTATGTAGTAATTAGTAAGATGAATTTTAAGTACCGTTAAAAGGAGTAGATAATATAACGATCATTTTTCCGTTAGGGTAAACCACCGAACACTCCCGCTCGAGCCCCGAAGCAAAGAAAAAGGGCGATCGATATGAGTAATTCGTCCTTTACTTGCCGGGCACTTTCCTCTTCTCTCCATCTGATAATTGAAACGTGCGTAATAATCATGCTTCTTTGATTCCCTTTTGTCTTGCAAAACTATAATGTGTTGACCTATCACGTGATCAAGTTCCTAGAGATGGGTAGCGGACTTCTGTCGGTGCTCTTCGCGAAGGAGAAGGTGCCGGGATGTGGCGGCAACGAGTTCGTCTTGATTTAGAAAGAAAATTGTGAATACACATACACATGTGTACTATGTATTTATAAAATTTTACGCAACCTCTGTAACTTAACATAAGACGTTTATTAAGTTAGAGAGGAAGTAATACTTTTCACATGTGGCATACAAAACAATATCTATTTCTAATGGGCCAGAAAAGTTGTTGGGCTGACTTTTATCCGTGTAGCCTACAAATCACAATATTTTCAAACAAATTTTCACAAGCATTACTGCACACATATTAGTTTTCACAAGAATTTTTTTAGAAAAATATTTAAATATGAATTTTGTTATTATTTTAAATACCAAGCTCCATGAAGCAATACGCCTGCACACCTGGTGAGGGCCATACGCCGACGTTCCTATTCCTAGTGAGAGGCACAATGTATCTCCTAAGTTTTCTAAGCTTCGGCTTGGCGGCATGGTGGGCGAGTGGCACCCTGCAACGGGTTTGTTGGCGCTGTTCCGTCCCTGATGGCCTCGGGCCTGCATTCTCCGATGTCCGTGGCTTGCGGGGCCTCTGCCGACGCAGCTCCGGCCCCAACGACCAAGTAGATGCATTCTCCTCCAGCTTACTTTGCCCATCAGTATCATGTCTGCTATGACCCCATCAGCTTGGATCTGCGTTCCTCCGGTTCCTAGCTTGTCGGCGTCGCCGGTTGCCAATGATTGCCTTGTGCAGGTTTCTCTCTGCCTCATCGCGTCCCCAACGCCGTATACCTCCACGCCTCGCCTTGGGCTAGATCCAATGCTCGTGTGTCCGATGGCGCCCAGTGCCCCCTCCGGCGACAGGTGCAGCCCCACCAACTCTCTTCTTGACGTGGCAGTTTCGGCTGATGTTTGACTTCCTCATCATAGAGTCCATATTCGGTGGCCATGGGATTGCTTAGACTCAGTCCAAGGAGAAATCCTTGCTTAGCTAGCCGGTGCTGGCAGCGACGTCACTCACGAGTGTTGTTTTCTCTTATTGAAGGTGCGGCCATGACCTCCATCGATGCCCCTCTTCGAGCTCAGAGGAACCCTAGGTCCGGTTCTCCGGATCGGATGGAGACGGCGTCTCGACATCATTCTCCTTCACGAAGGCGCTATCTTGTTCGCTTGCGGTGTCCTTGGTGGCGACTTTGCCGATGTTGGATCCATTGCTTGTTCGGTCTACCTCTCTAGATGGGTCTTGGTGGGTTTAGCTGTGTGTATCCTCTGTTCCGGGCCAGCACCCAGGAAATGCACGCTCAGGGTGCATCAAGGCCTTGGGAGGCGCACATTGTCCCGTTTGTATGTGAGTGGTTCGCGGCTTGAGGTGTTTGGGACTACTTGAAGCATCTGTAACCGGAGTCCTCATATCATTATCAAATGTTCGGGCAGCCTCCCTGATCACAGTCTGGTTTTTTTTGTCACCTAACCGGACACCTTAAACCGGGTGTTGCTATACATCGCTTGCGAGCGGTAGCACATGTGTCGCTTGCGCGCCATCTTAAACAGGCCTGGTCCATCCGAGGGAGCAAGCACCTACGAACAAGCGTTGTGGCACGAGTGAGTAAGCACCAACTAGTGTGTTTGTTTTTCTTTCTTTAGTCTCAAAAAAAATGTTTTCTTAATGGCCACAAATTCAAATTCTGATCATTTCTGGAAACGAGAAATTTCTATAAAAATACCTGAATATGTTTGGAAATGTGACAATTACATGAAATTCCTCAAACATTTTTTGAAAATAAGAACAAATTTGGTAAATAGGAACATTTTTGGAATCCTAAACAAGAACTTTGAATTCAAAAAACCCTCAAATTCAAATTCTATTTTTTGGATAATAGAACAAATTTTCAAATATGGTGAGCACTTTTACCAAGGACATACTCAACAATTATTTAATATATGATGAACATCATATATATATATATATATAATGAACATTTTTAAATATACAATGATGTTTTTTACAAAATACACTGTGAACAATTTTTTAATATACGATGGATATTCTAATTGTATGCACTGAATTATTTTCTAGTATACGGTGAACATTTTTTGAAAATCACGAGCAATTTTTGACATCCCAATTTTTATTTTAAAAATGTTAAGTCTTTTTAAAAATTTGTGAACATTTCTTGAAATTGTGAAAATTAAATAAATTCCAAACATGTTTTGAGAAAACACAAATACATTTTAAAAAATGTGAACATTTCAAAAAATGCTAA